GAGATGAATAGCAAAATCTTACTAAACTAAGGAAAGACAGACAGGCTCAAAAGTGAGATTTTATTCATATTTGTTACTTATTCACAACCTAAAGTATGATAAAACTGATAAAAACAGCCTAGAATAATGTTAGTTTACATCACCAGATTCAATTCACATTTTATTAATAAAATACCAAAAAGGAAAATGACAACATCGCAGGTTCAGAAAAACAGGTTGGCTACTATGAGTGAGAAACCTACACTATCGTAACTGGTCACAACTGATTGCTTATTTAATGCTTATTATTTAAAATTAACACAAATGACAACATTTCAGACACACCCAACTTCTGTGCTCATAAAATATATCTTTTGTCATATCAAATTTCAGTAGATTGGAAAGAATTTTCTGCTGAGATATTTCATTTCAGCATGTATTATTAAAAGAACACTGAGAGGGCTCTCCCTGCCTACACAGCGATGTAACACTGCGGTCCCAGCTGCGCTTTTGGAAGCCGCTGGGCAAGCACACCGTGGTGACCAGAACAGCCCACCTCTCATTCGCTGATGAAAGCCACCACCGGGCTATGGCCGAAATTCTCTCCTCTGTGGTGGACACAGAGACCTCAGGCTCCAGGACACAAAGTAAAGCAGGCTTCACCTCTGTATTTTCGGGCAAAGACAAAACCAGCTCCAACCGACATGGAGATGGGTACCATCAGCTTTGCTCACCATTATGCAGAAAGCAGTCGTACTTTATGTGACAAATTTGAACACCAACATTGAGGCAGCATGTTACCACCCCCTACCATAAAGGCAGCCACCACAGATTGGAAAAAATAAAAAAATCATACGGAGATTAAACAGCAAGGCAGTAGCCAATAGTTTGCGTGCAAACATCATGTTAAACTGTTACATTCTCAGGACTAAAGCTGTTCACTGTGTAAACACAGGCTAGATAATTACCTTCCATTTCTTTTTATTTCACATGCTTTTTAAGAACAGACGAGGCCTTGCAGAACAAAGGAGCTTTACCAAATTTTAGACCTGGAATTACATAGACTTCAGTTACAAAGATTAAAACTGTAATCTGGCAAGGAAAGAACTCTTCCCCTGCTATGAATACGTTTTTAAAAGCCTCATTAGGCAAAGCAGCAGACTGACCCTCTGTCCAGAAGAGAAAACACAAAACCAAAAAAACATTTTAATACTGTACTGTGGGGAAAAAAAAGGAATTATTTTTCAAGAAAACAGAGACAGCCAAAGCAGACTATGTGGCAGCAACTGTTCCTAGGGAAGGAGAAAAAAACCTGTATATATATGGCATAGTACCTAAACAGCCATTAAAACTGCTTTAACTGTCAATGTTTTATCAATGGGATGTACTGGGAAAGAAATACATTCGAAGTAATAGTAGTTTTGAGTAAACATGCTACAGGAACAGAAAATGATCTGTCATGACTATACATGTACAAATCAACAACAACAAAACTTATTTACAAACATTTATACCTACAGGCATAAAGACCAAGTTTAATACTTGTGAAATGTACCTGATTGCTAGATCTGGACTGTTCCAATCTTTCGTGGTAACAGAGTAACATTTCTACACTGCAATCACCAGACAGCTTCAGCCAGGTCTATCCTGAACTCTTTGCATTAGTTGATCTGTATCATAAAACCAAAGAGCTCTACAGATATTTCAACTTTCATTTGTAACATGGACCTGCATCCGCTATCTCCCCAAGACCCAACAAGCAGCAGAGCTGGTACTGTTCTAAGCTTATCCAGTCTGCTCACAAAATGTTAATTTTGGACCACGTGGATCCATTCTTCAAAGCATACATTTCATCATCTGCTACATTTTTAAGATAAAAAGAAAGATTATATAAAATCAATTCAGTATGCAAAAAAACTAAGCCCAGAAGTGATTAAAAATAGACTAAGGTGGGCATAATTAGTAACTAATTAAAAAAAGCTAAAAGTCATACTTATGGAACCCAACACTTGACTCAGTCATACAGTTAACTGCCCTCAAAGACTAACAACCAGACCAATTCACAAGTACGTAAGTTGTCTACATAATTAAAAGAATAAGATGTAAAGTCAAAAAAATATATTTTATCCCTTCAAGATCAGGAAAGTAAAATAAAATGCTGGTTCTGTAACAGTGCAACAACTGCAGCATATTTTGCACGCAGCACATGATTTGCTACATTGAGTGGCACTTAAGTATATGCGGTAAATACTGAAAGTAAGACAAGTTTCTGATCTGCATAAGCATAACCACATCATCATTACCAGAGTTGCTAAGCTACAGCATTCTGAATAATACCAATTCAATTTTAGCACTTCCATCACTAGCCTTAATACATGTCAACGTCCTGCTTTACATCTTGCTAAGAACGCAATCACTGAAGCCAAGTGTTTAATGAACTTGCCACTGGGCTTGGAGCAGGTTCAATCTGACCAATCGTTCTCATCAAACTCTGAATCATCATCAGAATCACTGTATTCCACGGCAATGCGTCTCGAGAGGATGGTCGCCACATCATTTCCAACAGGCTCTCGCTTTGCTTCTTGCTCCCGTTGCTCCTGCACCTTTTTCAGCTGAATTCCTGTAGAGACAATAACTCTCAAAGTTTTCTGCACAAGAGATTTTAAATTTCATACTGTTATTGGTGAGGTTTTTTTTTTGTATTCTAGTAATATATTCAGGAAGAAGGAAAAAAGAAAGCATTGAGTTAGAGAGCCTCCCTGAGCAAAGAAGAGAGCAAAACAAGAAAGGCAGATTGGAATCCATTCTCAGAGACAGACTATTTCCAGACTTCTAAAACCACCAACAATACGTTAAAACTAAACATTCAAGACTGTACAGGTCCTTTTGACCCAAACATGAAAGTTTTCATAGTTGTATTTGGAAATACCATTACACCTACAGCTCCATATTGTAAGCAAAGTCAGGAACAGCCATTAGTCACTGGTTAAAAATCAGCAGGCTGAAGGCAGATGTTGGGTAACTCAGTTCTAACAGAAGTAAAAATCCATGTATATCTACTGGCTACTTTACGTAAGGAACACAAGTACTGTTTTCATTTGATTATGTCCACACAAACACTAGAACATATTTGACAAAGCTGTACATCTTTAGCGATTTGAAAAATATCCAAAGTTGGAGCTGACAAACATTAGGATAGGTGGTGTGGTATCTGTGGTTAACTAATCTCTCAGTGACACTCTGCCCACCTGGGAACAGAAGCCATAAACTCAGACCACTGGAAAACACAGTGCTTTTACTGAAAAAAAATAAAAGGAGTATCTAAAACTCAGTGCCTACTTACCCATTCGAATGGCAGCAAGAAGATCGCTCCGTGCATCACTTATGGGTGGCTGTGCAGGTTCATGGCGTTTTGCCTCGGTAGCCGGAGGAGCATGCATTGGGGAGGCGGAGAGGGCTGACCCTGCGGCAGGAGGGCCGGGAGGAGGAGGAGGTGGGCCGGGAGGAGGAGGAGCAGTGACAACAAGCCCACTAGAAGGAGGAGGATGAGTAGCTGCATAGGTTGAGCCAGTCACCAGTCCAGAATGGGAAGGTGGCACAGGAAGCTGAAGGGGACTAACAAACGCCGTTTGTGCTGAAGGAATCATAGGGGGAGGAGGAGGAGGGGGAGGACCTGCAGGATTGTAGTAATCCACCATCTGAGCTGGAAGCATCCTATATAAAACAGAACAAAAACATTTAATGCACTGAAAGTTAGGACTTCGACAACCGACATCCCTGAAACTGCTCTCATCCAACCTCAGCTAAAACAAAAGTCAAAAGGAATTTCAATTGGTGAGTTAAATATGCAAGTGATTATAAACAGACAGATTGTCAAGTATTGGTAATACATTGAGATTTAAGGCAGATGACGAAGCTAAAGGCAGTGTCCTTTCAGCACTCCACAAAGTGAGATTTTTTATCTTAATACTCCTGCCTACTTAAGTATGAAACTACATTTGTTACTAAACATCTATACTGTGAGAATATTAAGCGCAACGCCTATGATGAAGGGACCAAGAAAACTGCAGACTAGGCGTATCACTTCCATGGAAGACCAAGTGTTAGAACAAGTGTTAAGAAATAATAAAAGACACAGGCATGGAGCATATACCCAAAGGTATATCGTGCATCTCATGTGCTTCTTTAGTGAAGTTTATCAATTTAAATATTAAATTGATACATTTGATTGATACTTTAAAGAAAAGAAATGTGGAAGAGCTAATTTCTTTGTTAAAATAAGATTAAAAGACTTCTTAAGCAGAAAAAATGGGAATTAACCTAAGAGTTATGAAGTAGGTAAAGAACTGGATATAGGAGACAGGAGTTGAAGGGAAGTTACTGATGACATTCAGTGATAAGAGTCAATGTATGGCAACTGTGATACACTGACAATGGTCATGTACCTGGGGACTAAGCACAAGTATTTCTGTTATAAACTGGAAATAACAGAGAAAATGCAGGTTGGAGCAGTCAATCATAACATAACTGAGTCATCTACAGCATGATACAGTCATGAATTGGGCAAATGCTATCCCAGGATGCATTGAGTGAGGCTGAAAAAAACCTTGGCTTGCTTAGTTTTAAGTGACACAGGCAAGAATGATTACAACTTCCCTGGGGTTACAATTTGAAAGTTTAAGCTATTTAAGCAAAAGAACAAACAGACACTGACTGGTTAGAAAACAGATGCTTTCTTGCTATCGGAGAGCAAGTACTCTGGAACAAGCCTTCCTTCTGAAGACCTTCAGGCAAAATATCTACAGAGGAGTTAGACAAATTCCTATCTTGAATTACGGAGGTGTCCATGGCAGTAGGGAACTTGATTCTGTGTCTGAGGAGATCCCTTCCAATTCTGTCATAAGCACCTTTAAAAAGTCATTTCAGGGATGCACCACAGACTGCCACCTGAATCACATTCAGCAATGCTTTTCCTGCATGCTTTCTGAAGTTTAAAACACTGTTCAAAATATGCTGTAACTATTTTCCACTTTAAAGGAAAATTATCCCCTTTTTAATATTAGGAACCCTTAATATTTTAGAAGCATACCGATTTCACCACATTCAATACACAGTTCATTCTTTCTGCTTTCACTATTTCTTCACTTAAATTCAGTTCATACATAGAAATCATGCCATTTTTTTTTCCTGTCCTCACCAGGGAGATAGCTAATGTATTTGCGGTCTTTTTGTGTGTATGCATCATATGTTATGATGGTTATGAAAAACACGCAGCCCTCTAGTTTTGTCAAGAATCCACTGCAATAAATCAGGAGTTTTACCCATATTCTGCTGGTACCACAGGTACTGAGCTGTGGTGGCCATCTGAAGGCTGGGGTGGAGGTGGAGGTGGTTGCTGAGGTCTGTTTAAAGTAGCATGTCGTACAGTGGTGGAAGGTGGTCTGTATTCATGCTCATGGCTTTGGGATGCTGCCATGTACTGTGGACCATCTCCTGTTCCATATGAAGGCATTGCTATCTGCTGATGGAGGGAATGATTCGGAGTAGCAGGATAAGAATAATCTGTAACATCAGATGCATGGGACCTAAAATTAAAGTAAATGGATGCAGAAGAACAGATTATGTGAGTGTAACAGGGTATTATCTAAATCGCTCAAGAAAAGCTAAAGAGAATGCAATCAGAATTATTTTTCTTGCAACAGGACTCCCTGATTATCAAGCACCATTCCCTTGTAAGTCCACAGAAAGCACAAGAACAAACACAACAAAAAATCATGGTTCAGCTTAACATGACTTGAAAACAAATCAGTTTGACAAATCAGCATAAAAGGACTGAAACTGAATGTTTTCAATATTTCAGCATACTAGCTGCATGCAGAATGTCCTCGTATAATGCAGATTTTAAAAAAGGCAAACAAAAATTTAGAGCTTTCTCCAGATTTTAGAGTGCTTTAGTAGCCAGTAAGATGGCTATTGTTTTTGTCAATGATTTTGGCAGTCCATTGTTTGAAATGGTAATACTTACCAGGCCTGCCTTAAGTTAACAATGGCAGCAGAAAAAGGGAAAGCAATACTGCAAGCAATCTCACTTATGCAGAAGAATATATTTTACCAAAGCAGAGAAAACCAATTTCAAAGGTTAGAAGACACTTTTTATTTTGTTTGCACAATTAATTTTGCTGGAAAGGCTTAGAGAAACTGGGAAATGTAAATATTAGTTGAGCAGAGAGTTCATAAAGATACAAAGTCTAGGATGCTCTGTCAAATAAGCCCAAGAGAGGGAGCAAAAGGATCTCTTCATCCCATTACTGCAAATAATTTTAGTAACAAACAATCGTGCAGCCTGGCTTTTAGTGAACACAATAAACTGATGCACTTATCTGTAAGACTGGAAGCAAGGTAAGCAACAAAAAGCCAGGGCTTTGAGTAAAACAAAATGACAAACCCTTTGGGCATTTTGTCCTCTTTCATGCTTCCTGCCTGTTCCATTTTCTTTGCGTCACTCATGAACTCAATGCCCATTTTCCTTCTCTCCCACTCTTCTTTTCTTGTTCTTACTTTTCTCACATTAATTTGCTGGTTTCTGTTTGGATTCAGCTTGTGTTTCTCTCTCTAAAGTACAATAAGTATAACAAATGCATTGTAAATCGCCACAGTCTGGACACTTAGATGTCAATGTTTAATGCATAAGTCTTACCATTAGCAAACGAGAAGGAACATGAGCTTTTTTTTTTTCCCCACTTTAGCACTAAAAAAAGAATCACGATACAGCCAAATACACTTCTTTGCGACCTTATTTATAAAACACTGCTCATGCAGTAGCTGTCAGCATTAAAATGTCTCTGGAACCAGTACTTATTTCTATGAGTTTTTTTATAGCTTAGTTCCTACAGCCAAGACTACCTCCAAGATAAAAAAAAAAATAAGAGCACCTCCTCTCCACCTCACTACCACTCACAAAATTAACCCTTCATGCCTGTAAAACAGATTTCAGGATTCAATCACTGATATTTGATTCACTGAAATTTAAAGTTCTCCATACATTATAAAACTTGAAAAGCTTATATAAAAGCACAAGATATCTGTCATACCACAACATCTATATCCAACAGAATGATACAGACTACAATTTCTGCTTAAAAATCCTACAGATTGCAAATATTATGGATATCTGCAGACAGTCAAATACATGTTGACATTCCTGGGAGATAAAAACAAATCACTTCAATACAATTACTTAAACTGAGGAATTGTGGAAGCAAAGTGTTACAGCTAGAAAAAGACTCAAAGTGTGTGAAACATGGAACTCATGATCAAAAAAAATCCACAGCTTGCACTTGACAGCTGAACATCAGTGTCATTTTACCAGATCAACCTATGGAAAGCACTGTCAGTCTGCAATGTTTCATTAAGACTAACAGGAGATGATGTTTTGCATTAGAAACTAAAAAAATAATTGGTGATTAAAGGATTTTAGACAGAGAGAGGGGGTCTGAATATATTATTGAAACAGCAGTAGCAATTTTCTTCAATTTTTTTGTTTCAATTACAAGACGATTATGCTTCATAGATCAAAAACATTACATACACACAGTTCTGAGCAGATTTTTAAAATTTTTTTTCTTTTAAATTAATCTCCACTTGCCAGCAGACTAAAGGTATCAGTTCACACTTTCGCAGTGGTGGCTGCTTCCTCAGCCTAGCCATAAACACTAAGTTGTCACATGCTTTTTCCAGTAGATTCTATTTATTCCTAACATTACTGCTAGCAATTAACCACAACAGAGGAAATAAAATAAGTGGGAAAATCCCCTAGATAGAACAGCTTAGTGAAAAAACTCAGACTTCCATGCATACCAGGAGGAGGTAACTCCCACTGAGGTCAAAGGGAATCACAAAGGTGAATTCTACTGTGTGTCTCTAAGCAGAGATTTCTGCTATTTCAAGCAATAATGTTGCATCGGGTTTTGTAGCTTGTTTTTTAGACAAATACAACATCGATAAAGGTGAACTATTCCCCCATTAAAGCATTCTGTCAGAGGCAAAAGTATGCTTAAATGAGTAGATCACACAAAAATATTTATTAAGCTATCAGCTGCCTAACATACAACAAACTAGGCACGAAGGAAGAGGTACTGACATTACCTAGTAGACACAGACAAATGCTTTTGTAACTGCAACTACTCAAGATCAAACATAAAGCATGCAGCAAACACTTATTTCACTACAGTGCATAACATTATGACAACATGCTCATCTGAAGCTGAAGAAAAAAATTGTTACAGAATGTTACTTATGCTTTGAAATAATTTTCAGAAGACTTTAAAACATGCATTGTATGTTTTGTCTATTCTAGCTATTCCCAACCTGTAAAAACACCTAATTCTACTCAGTACTTCTGAACATACAACTGTGGTATAACAAACAGCTTTGCTGTAAACAGACCTAGTATCTGGGGACAGTGATCCCTCGGAAGATGCTCCATGGTACACACTTTGAGACAACCTGTTGTCAGGTCTAAGCTCTTTGTCATATGCCATCATATTCCACTCTTGGCGTCTGTTCCTGGCTTTTCTAACCTTTTTCACCTCACGGGTGGTGCCATCTATACGCTTTTGCTCCTAATGTTCAAACAAAAGAAATAAAGCATGCAAAGAGAGAAAAAAAGGAAAGGAAAAAAGCTGGTTAAAATGCAGTTAGAGTGCATGAAAATAAGACCAGATTTACAGATGAAGCCAAGTCTTCATAAAATTTCTCTGCACCGAAAATGAGAGCATCTCCTTACGCTGTGAACCTCACTAGTAGTAAGACTGTTGCTCTGCCCTTCTCCTGTAGGATGCACATGCTAGTGTGATACTGACCTACTGTTTTTCCTCATACAGAAATGGGATTGATTTTAAGAGCCAGAAAGTTTAACTTCTTCTGACATCATTTGTCATTTATTTAGACCATCCTGAAGCACTTGTAATTTCCTTCTCCTGCAAATCAATCTTATGAGAATATGTTAAATATGCTCAGGGTTATTTTGGTTATTCGTTAGGGTCACAGTCACCTCAGGCCTGGGGGAAGTATGGGAAAATTAGAAACATTTTCCTATTTCGTAGTCTACGTGAAGTGACTTTTGTTTTAGCTTCCTTTCCCTTCTTAGATCTGACTATCGAAATTCCTCCTAGTTTTTCCTCATCATTACTTCCTATTATCTTCTATAAAAATGAATGATGCTAATCCTCTCTGCAATGTGTCATTAAAATTAAGGCCAATAATATATTACAGCTTGATAGCTTCATGACAAATCAGTCTGCTTAGCTTTTTAAATCTTTCTATATAATTTCAGGCTCAATGTCAGTGTTTATCTATCAGTAAAATCTCCTAATAATGGGACTTAATGCTTTCACACCTCTGAAATGTTGTCCTCACCTACTTCTGACTACTCAGTATGAATATTAAAGAACCATATTTTTATGGTGCTTCAATAGAAAAAGAAACAAGTCGGCTCAATCCAAACCGAGAAGGGTATTTATGTGCTACTCCTTTTTTTCAACATTTATGAGGGCGTTGGCTTTTTTTAATCAGCTCTAGAGCTCACATCTTAGATTACTAATTCATAAACAGGTTAAACATGTTTTATCTATTAATAAGTTGGTATTAGGCATTTGGCTGTTAGAAAAATAGTTTCTCAGGAAAGAATTATACTGATATTCTGAGAATGCAGTCATATTCAATTGTATTTAGAGAAGAGGTTGGTAAAGCACTGATATGCAAGCATTTGATTGTGGAATTTCTGCCTTCAAAGTAAGGGATAATAGTTGGAAAGTCAGTCTTACCAAAAAGTACATCACAGATGAACATAGGTATTTTACTCCAGCTGTCTAACAGCACTGAGAAAATAATTCTGAAATAATGTATTTGGCATTATACAACAAAAATATATCAAACAGCTCGCTTGCCCTTGTTTTGGATCTCTTGCTTGTTCATGCATGTCCCTATGAGGGACCTGCTGATCCGCGTCTGCTAACATTAAGAATCACAGAGAAAAGTCTTTTTGAAGTTCAGCATTCAAATGTTCCAACGATACTTGCTCATTCCTGGCCCTTGCAGCGAGTAGATTTTTGATCTGATTCATTTTAAGTAAAGATCATCACCTTGGTTCTCAATTACTTCCTATAAAAATCTTTTTCTTCCCCAAACTTCCTGGAATCACACCCTTTTTGATCCAAGTTATGTTAGGCTTTACCTTCTCCTTTAATACCACTTCTTCACATCAAAATTTCCCAATACAGGAATTGGAGCAGACGGGAGACAGATTCAGTCATGCCTGTTTTAGATACGTAAGATTTGCTAATCGCCATGGTTGAATATATGCTTGTTAAAGGCTTTACATCTGTCTTTTTCATTTGATTGCTGCAAAATTTAATTTGTTTTAATTTGTGACTTATCCTGGTTCATTTATTAAGTTACTAAATCATGCTAGATGTGAGAAGAAAGTAAAAGTAAGCCTTTCAGTTAACTGAAAATACTCTTTAGTTTTCTCTTCTCACAGAAGAGTAACTCCATCCTCTAAGGGTCACAACTACGTATTTCTCAAGTTTCTAGATAAATATCCACCTTTTGACCAGTGTATGATGCTGCTCAGAAGGCAATCATTTTGATACAATTCCTGTACAATCAGGAGTGATTAATTGACTGCTGACATACAAACACCTATTTAAAAGTTTGGTTTTAAAGAGATCACAATGGTTTTTTATAAATAAGGTAAATACATATGCATGTATAAATAAACATAAAATAAACACAAATTTAAGTTTGTTTTGGTTGGATAAGGTTGTTTCAGATCAGCATCTCTAAGTGTGCTAATGAATAAATATGCTGGAACCCTTTCTACTCAAATAGTACTAAACTCTACTGGTATTGATTTTTGGATTAAATATTATAAAAATACACCTCTAAACCATTTAATTTCTTCCAAAACAGTGGAGCAGGCTAATTACTAGCAGATGACAAAACTATATATACTTCTAACTACATATACCCCAATAGAGTAGTTTTAAGTTGTTCCAGTAATACTTTCATTACCTGGACAAACAATGGTGACAGCTCTCGTTTTAGTACCTAGGGCCATAATAACAGAGTTTGAGGGGAGCTGAAGCCTTTCAAAATAGCTACAGATACTTCCTAGGAAAGTCAGGCAATATTAAGAATTACTCCCTTTAACTGAGTGTAATAGAAGCTGTGGCAGACAAGTGGATGCTGTAGGTTAAGCGAGAACACAGGTGCATCATTAGGAAGTGATTTCAGCAAACACAACAATCATATCAGAGCCCTCGTAAGTTAAAGTTTGATATTTGCATCAAGAGTTAGCAAATGATATTTCAAGCATCTGAATAAAGAATTAGAGCTAGTAACAGAAAGTAGCTTCAGCAAGTATTTACAATACTTACAAAAAACTGGAAGTGTGAGCCTAGAGTATTTTCCTGATTTCACAAATTTACAAGATCATATTAATCACAAGTCATCAAAAATTATTTTTGAAATATAAGCCCTCCAAACTTAAAGATTTCTACTTACTCAAATAACTAATCATTCCTCAGAAAAAATGAGGAACACTAAAAAGCAAAGTAGAACAACTTTCCTTTGGTTAACCAACAGTTAACAACTGGTCTACTATGGTCATTCAATTCAGACTATTACTGATAAATGCAAAACTGAAAGCTAACTTCATTGAACTCTTAAGGCACTGATACACAGAGTTTGACAGTGGAAAAAAAAACAGATACTAAGAACAACTTTCCTTTGGTTAACCAACAGTTAACAACTGGTCTACTATGGTCATTCAATTCAGACTATTACTGATAAATGCAAAACTGAAAGCTAACTTCATTGAACTCTTAAGGCACTGACACACTGAGAGTTTGACAGTGGAAAAAAACCAGATACTACACCACAGATTTTAAACTTAACAAATTAAAATTACAGTTTTCTTCAGAGAAAAAGTTCATCTGAAAGAGTCCAATCAGAGAAAACCTGTCTTAGATTTCTTCAGTTAAACTAATACAGAAACAGTAAGCATGATATTTGAAGGCAGGAAAATGAAACTCCTCACAAACTTGCTGCTGCAACACCTCAAGCATTTAAGGCAAATTACCAAAATAACATGGGAAAATTGATTCTCTGGTGCAAGGGGTACTCTCAGGCTTCACTGACCACCTGAAAAATTGAGGCTAAAACCCAGCTATATTTGGTCAGCTGAGGACTGCATTTGGATGTCAAGTTTATAATTTGCTAAACAATACACATCTATTTCACCTGCACAGTTTCTCAACATCTTTGATATTTTGTGCTTCTGTAGAATACAAATCACATAAGGAATTCTCACTTAGTAGATTCAAAACACAACTTCAGCCACAAACTTGTTAATAGATGCTCTGGATTCCTTCCCAGTCACTGCTATGGTAAGGACAAGAACAAAAGAAAGTGACAGTCTGTTCAGCAACCTGTGGAAGGAATGGGGCCTGTGAGACATCTCACCCAGACCCTCCAGCTCTCTAAAGGTTCCAGGCAGTAAAAAGCTCATTGGCACACCAGCTTCTGGAAAGCTAAAAACCACGTTTCTTCTTGTCAGAGTGACATCTGTCCATGCAAAGTCACACTTATGCTGTTTTCTTCTTAGTTGGTCTTGTTATATATTTAATCAAATAGGACTTCAGGTAGAATTTATGAAGGGGTATTTCTGCAATGTATGGCTATAATCCTATATGATGGGAATTGAGCATACTTTACATCTGGTTTGTAGACTGCAATAAGACAATTAAAACCTACAAAAAACATACCATGGATGGAAATAAGTGAGATGTGTTGCCTAAAATATAGCCTAAAAGCAAGTTTATAAAGTGGTTTTGTAAAAATCTCTGAAGCATCAAAAAAATTTTAAGTGATACTTTGTCATAAATTTTTTTAAAAGCTTTTGTAGTTTTTTCCTGTTTAATATTAAATTAGAACGAAAAAATTAGCAGTTAAGTTTCTTTCTATCCCCCTCTAAGGTGAAAAGATCTAAATTCGAAGGGAAAAAGGTGGGAGGAAAAAACCCAGAGGGTGCAATTATCCCTATATATTTTTCATAAAGAAATATTGAATGAAATCTAGAAAACCCAGGTAAACTAGAGAATGAAAGCTGCTTTAACTATTTCCAGTCTTTTAATCAGCTCTGTGACTTATCATACTGACAATATAGTGGGATTATAACCTTGCATATACATTTGTATACAATTGCACAAATAATCAAGTGAATATTTTCCAATGCTTTGTTTTAGACAGTAACTTCTACTGAAAATGTTTACTTAGCTTTTTCGACTATTTACTATTTCAATACTGAGATACCTGTCAAAACAGAAAACGTTTTTGACTCACTCTTAACAGGAAGACTAGATTTATTTCTTCCAGAACTTCTAAAATCAGGAATTCACAAAACGTTTTCGTTAAACCAAGTCTTCAATGTTTTGTTTAAAAATGTTGAAGTCAAAGTTTTGTCTATCAACAGGAACAAGGAATTAATAGAATTTTATAAGAACAGAAGAGTAAAACTTCCCGGTCATGCCCTACAATTTCATTTCTAAGCAGGTATCATATATATTAGCATATATATACACACGTATTATACACATGATGTATATACACAAATATACATTAGCATACGCATTAGCATGTATATTCACATATTAGAGATTATGTATATACATGTGTATAACATGTATATATGCTGATATATTATGATATCTGCTTATATATACTATATATGCTAATATGTGATATATATGCATACATGTACATATGCACATGTATGTGTGCACCTGTACTGAAAAGTAAGTGGCTTCCTCCTATTTCCTCTGAGCAGTCCGTGCATCTCGTTTGGATTCCTTCTATTTTAAATCCCCTATCTCTCACTGAACCTACCTAAAAGGGCACCTTCTGCCAGATAAAATAGGCAGTCATTGCTTCAAACTTTCCTTCTTCACCTTTTTTTCCCTGCAGAATTATCTTCAAAAATCTTAAACCTCTGATTTGATAAAAAATTGACTGCAAAGAAGCTGCAGAAATAGCAACTAATTTCTTCAGTCAAAACTAAATCTATAAAGAAAGTCTTGATTGCATCAGAATCCACATCTTGGATTAAACTGCTGACGATATTCCAGAATATTACTCCTAAAATTAATCTTCTCTTGTTGCTGAACCACAGAATAACTTTGCTGTATATTATCACCTTATTAACTTGTAACAGGTATAGAAAAGCAAAGAGTTACTATCAAGGAATTAAAAAACCCAACAACATATTTATTTCTGGATAAGCTCATGTTTTGCTACAGGAGTTGATGCTGCTGGATAAAGAGCTATGAAAATAAAGGAAACCTTAATTCAAATTACCTTTTTTTTTTCCCCTTCCCCCCCCTAAATCACAGTGTCTTTTTCCAAAACACAACAGTGCCATTTTGCTGAGTACTAATAAGTAGATACTGGCAAAGGATTAAAGAAGGTATCTTGGAAGATAACAGCAGTACTCCTAAAATCCAATTTGCCAACTTCTTAAAATAGACAGTATGAGCTATAAAAACTGAACCACCTGAATCTACAGCCATGTATAAAGAGGCATAGTCTTTCCATGCACACAAACTAAGTATGACCAAGCAATTTCAATGCCTGGATAACCATACACAAAATTGTAATACGTACATTTGCTATTATGTTTCTGCTTTTACCTTTTGTCTCCTCTTTTCTTTTCGCTTATCTTCAGTATCTTGTAACATTTTTTCTTTCCAAAGATCAAAAAAATAGGAAGGATCAGTATAGAATTTCAATCCATCTTTCTTATCATCCCTGGAAATACAGTAGAAGAAAAAATAAGAAAATATGAACTAGTATTTTTCAAACCAACAGAACTCACCTTTGACTATCTTTCAAGCTTCACCTTTTTTGCATTATAAGATGAGAGCATGCCAAGTGCATTAAATGCCACCCTTGGTAGTCAGAGCTTACAACTGGCTTGATTCATGACAAGAATTCCAGGGGAAAAGGGTGGAATCCACAGCCTTTTGGGAGCCCTGCTCCCAGGGCAGCCTCATCAGAGCTCCACAGGAGCTGGCTCTAGGCTCCTGCACCAGCCCGCTCACCGCAGTGAAAGGCACTGGTGCTGCAAGAAGATCAGGGCCAAGAGAGGATGTGTAGGGGACAGAGGGGCATAAGAATGCAACTCAGTTGTCTCAAAAGAACTGGAAAAGGAGTATTTGGCTCAATCCAGACAGGTCTTAAGATCTGACTTTAGAAAGAAGGTAGGTCTGAGTACCCTCGCCCTTATAACAGGACGAACAAGACAGTTGCTATTCTCAGTGGGACTCTTACAGCTGGGGGAAGATCTAGGAAAGGGGTGGCAACTGAAAGGTTGAATCCTACTAGGCTGTTCTAGGAGGATTTGAGACAGAGTTGATCCAGGCTTGCCAGTTCCAAGTGGCAGCAAGAGCCAGGGACACCCAGATTAAGAAGCCACTAAAAAAAAGGTATGCTCTCAAATCCTAATTTGACCCCACAGCCTGGAAATAGGGAGTCTTCTAACATCCTAAACTCCTGGAAAGCAATGGGTGTAGGGGGAGTCAACATGTTCAGGGCAATTTGCATGGTCCAAAGAGCATATGATGGTGATCCAGTCTAGCTTGCTAAACTGGTGTCCTTCAGAGTCCCTTTTTGGCTGCCTGTTCCAATTTCTTCCCGGGCTAATTTTCGTGGCAGCTAAGTGCTAATTTCTACCAACAAGATCAAAAGCAATGGAGATCCAGGACACGGAAACCTTACAACCACTGGAGCAGGGTACATAGCAGATCCTGTATACTGTCTGGTCATACGGCCATAAAACCATTACTTTTTGTGTGCTAGATCTGCTTGCTACAAACAGCAAACCTACTGAAGGGGGTACTGGGGCCACTCTTCCACCCCTCCAACTTTGGTCAGACTATAATCTGAAGTTTGTTTAAGCTTTGCCCAAGGCAAACACAAATAATTTAAATTCAGCAGATGTAAAAAACCTACCAAGAAATATAATTTACACAAATTACACTAAAGTATCCCTAATAAAACAGGAATAGCAATAAAGGTCACTGAGACTGTCATCCAGATACATACTAGGACATAGCTGTGCAGAACAGTTGATCGATAACAACTCCTATTAACTGGATGCCTATAAACAAACGCCACCATTGTCTGTAGCAGCAGCAAAACACATATCCTTCAGCTATAAATCTAACAATTTTATCTTCCAAGTAAAAGCTCTTAAAAATGAAATAGACTGCAAATGTTCTGCTGTGTCATTCCGAAAAAAATTTCAAATAAATTAGTGCAGATTGACTGCCTGCTTTACACAGATACCTCACAATCTAGTACCTCTCAAAAGTTGAAGGACACAGGAAAAACATGTTGTCCGTAACTCTTCAGACAGACAAATTATACTCATTTCATGAACAACAATAAATTTAAAGGAAACAGGAAAAGAAAACAGAAAACAAAGTCCTGCTTGCTGCTCTTTTATTCATCAGTAAGTAACCAGGAAAAGAAAAGGTAAAGACTGTGCGTGTGCACACATGTGTATATGCTGCGGGGGAAGAGTGAGAATATAGGGAAGGCAAAAGCAACAAATCCAGCTTTGTAGGTAAATGAACCAAAGAAGACAGTTTAGTATATTATTAATTTTCTTTTCATTTTTTTACATGATCAATGGCCCTTGCTCTCCGATCCTGTGCTGCCATGTAACACTTATGCTGAAATATGATGATTTTTATCAGGTACAACTTATGATTTTAAGTGTGGCAACAGCAATTTTTGTTTCCATGAACGGGGAAGTCCCTGAAAAAACAAATCTCAATAACCAATACAGCTTTCCCCTTCTGCTGTAATTATTTTCTGCATACAACTAAGAGATAAAGGGCAAAGTACAAGAACGTAAGCAATGAATGTTTCCATACCTATAAGGTGAAAGAATATTCAGAGGTGGTGGTTTGTCACTCTGATTATAAATATCAGCCACTGGGTTAGGAATGCTGTTCTTTGAAACCACCTGTTGATCTTGAATTGTTGAGCTCTTGAATGCTTTTTTCATGTTGATATCCTGTAACGATACTGTTAGAAACAAAAATACATTTAACAAAGGTTTGAATATTAGTGTTAGAATATTATTTTCTCACTCTGCTAATATGACTTTTCCCAGCCTGCCTTACTGAGAAGACAAGATGAAATATCAGTTCAGGATTACTTTGAAAAGATGGAGATTGTTGTGTAATTAAATGCTGTGGTCTTGTCAACATCACTTCTGGCTCAATGCTTTCATGAAATGACCTACCCTCTTCTACTGTTGAATCCAGCTGGGTAACTTTGACAGCAAGGCGATCAATTCTGTCTTGAAGGGAATTTGCTCTGATGTAGAAGCTGTTGGCCTCATTAAACAATTCACCAAATATGTCTTCAGCATGTTTGCCTGTGTAAGAAAACAGACAGCGAAATCCCTTTGCTAAAGGCTTACAAAAGACAAATAGCTTCAATATCATGAAGTTATAATAAAACACAGTAGCTGTAGGATTACAACAGCACAGTTTGTCATTCAGCAAAATTTTGGGTGACAGATTTGTACAAAAATCTGAAAATACACCGTAAATACTGCCTGAAGCCTGTTCTCCTAGACATGCTGGTTAGTCTTCTATGTAAAAAACAGGGAGACTTTCAAATTTTAATCCTTATGTAGCTGAACTACTGCCAACTGACACACAATTGACCATTAAAACCTGCCTCTGTGATGAAAATAAAGGCCTAAAGTTACTGCTGTCCATAAAAGCTTCTGAAGTAAATTTTGAAGTCTAAAAATCTTGCAACCCATACTCATTAAGATTTAATTATAAGCATGAGCACAAGCCAACATCAAAATGAAGGCAGAGGGAAACAGATAAAAGCCAGGATCCTGATGCAAGGCAGCCCACTTACCTCTACAAACGCTCACTGTATACATGTTGCTGTCACCAGAGTCATTTGAGAGCCTAAGATGGCACTGACCACATTTACCCATGGCCAGCCAGGACTTGATCTACCACAAAAGAAGAGTCTACAACTTTTTCAGTTGCTCTATTTTCTCAGTCACTATGACAGTGGATAGTCCAGTTCAGATCTGGAGCCTCAGGCCATACCCTAAAAGTGCTACAGGACAGGAGTGCCACATGGTAAACCCAGTCCCCTCTTGGTCCACAGATCCTTGTGCATGCCTGTTCCTTTCCTAAACCTCCCACCTCCCAAAGTACTACTAGGCATCCTCATCTACAGTTTGACTCTCCTTCTGCCCCAATCCAAACCTCTCAACCACTCTGGATCAGAATCCCCAATTTAACACTTCTCCTGCCCCAGAACTTCCCCTGCAAACTGCAGGTTCCACCCAAATTCATTGCTCCCACTCACTCAGCTCACAGTACCGCACCTACTTCTGTCTCAGTCCCTGCTACCCAGATACTGCTGCTTCATTTACCATCTCCCCCTCCACAATGCCTCGAGCTAACACCCCTCTCAAGACATCCACACTCCACCAGTTCCCGATGCAAAAAGGAAAATCCTGCCTCCTGCATTTAACCATGCTTTTTAAACAGAAATGAATTTTAAAACCCTACTTCTGAATTAATCTTATCTTGTTATGATCCGTATCAAGATGAGTCTGAAGAGCAGAAATGAAGGGGAGGAAGAAAGTGAAACTTTGTCCAACTGGAAGAACAATATGGAATATGTATTAACCACCTAAACGACTGTGACGTCCAAAAGAACAGCAACTGTTGACATTTTAAGTTGGGCCCTATAACCAACCTTAATCTTTCACAAAGAAAAGTACAGATGTAATGAAAATTTCAGTCAAGATCCCATCCCATGAACATCTGGAGACCATAATTCAAAGTAAAAAAAACAGCCACACTTAGGAAGTCAACCAGATCTGCCCCTTTCTTGGCTCATTTACTTGCAGGGAAGAAAATAACAACACTGAAACAATATCTGAAAGCACTGTTTGCTAATTACAAATGAAAAAAAATTAATTTGATTGCTTCGCTTTGAGTGGAGGACTTTACTAGTAAAAGATTTCTTCTCTAAACTTAGAATCAGCCACTAACCCAAGATGTCAGACATTTTGGTGTATCCAAGCACTGCTCTGTAGGTATGTGGAAGGTGGACAGGCAAGGTCTGCTGCCTACCTGCTCCTAATCTCTTCCCCCTCCAAAACAGAAGTCTCGCAAACACAGACTAGTTGAGGTTGGAAATTATCTAGTCCAGCCCCCTGTTCAAAGCATGGTCAGACAGAGGAGGTTGCCCAGGACTGTGTCCAGTTGGGTTTTGAATACTTCCAAGGATGGAGGCTCCACAACTTCTCTGGGCAACCTATGCCAGTGTTCAACCACCTTCACATTAAGTGTTCTCTAAGTGCTTCCCAACAGCTAGCTGAGATTCAATTATAAAACCCATTTGATTTAGTGCAAATGAAGGGGTTATTCCAAGCTATGGAACAAATAAGCTTTTCAACTCTTCAGCTAAATAAAGCACATGTTACACCCTTCAGCCATCAGTATTCAGAGCTCAAAACATCAATAAATTCTAATGAATGCTAGTTTATGTTAATATAGTGAAATCAGCCTGCTGAGGAAGGACTGTCACATTCCAGGATTAAACACATCACCCCTAGAGAAGTCAAGCAGACAGGTGCTTGTCGGTTATCTTTCAGGAGGCAAAATAAGTCATACAGTTGATTTGTGGGAACATACTTCTTATAATATTGAATTTTTTTAAAAACACTTGCTACTCAAATAAGTGAAAGACAGGTTGTCAATCTCCCATCAGTAAAAACTTTGACATGGTAAAGCAATATTGGATACGCTATTCTGATTGACATGATGCAATAAGTTTTCAAAATAAAGTAATACTTCTATAGTGTTTCCTATGTTACCATCTGTTTAATCAGATTTTTAACAACACAGAAACAAGCAGGAAAAAAATATCTAAGGTTATAACCATGTATCTTTCAACCTACGAGCTGATTTTGGTACTATAAGACAATCCTTTAAAAACACGAGGAGCTTCCCAACATTTGGGCAACCTAAATAGTAATTTAAAAAACCCACCAAAGGAATTATGCAGTCTTTCCTTCTAAGGCTCTCTCCGTCCACAGAAGTTGTTCAAGGGAAATTATTCATGATGCTGCCTCACCAAATCCCCACTCTCAATAGGTTTTAATGTCAATTTACAGAAGCACCTCTTTCTAGCACTTCCACAGGTCATCTTCATAGAGCTGTACACTTGATTGCTCACAAAATAGATTTCCAAGCATTGAGACACATTTCTGGAGATCAGTCTTTCACAAATAATTGAAATAATACCTCTACCCAAGTCCTATAGTAATTACATGAAACATCATCTTGCCACCTCAGTTATAACATCTCTAGCAGAGACTAGACACCACCTGAAATAATTACAATTGATTTTCACATACTGCATAAAAAGGCATGCATTAACATATTGAATACATTCCCAAAGGTATCTTTTGTCAGCAGTCAAAAAGCTCAGTGCTGTAACAGAAGAGGAATTTGACAATGGTGCTGGTTTGTCTGAAGACTGGAAAGCCAGTGGTTATTGCTTTGGGTAGTTTCCTTTCATGTATTTGAGTCTAAAAAGTACAGCTTTCCTTTGCATTCCTTGTTCCACAGCACAAGTACATGGAAGAACACATTCAAGTTAATACAAAGATTTACACTGCATTAAAAGGGTTACAGTTTTTCACACCGTGAACATGCACCAAAGAGAAAAGGCAGAGCAATGTCATCACCTGGCATTCAGGTGTCAGTTCTACAAGTCACTGGAAGAAAGATGACACACAGGTTGTCCTGAAGGGAGCCAGCACTGCACTAACATCCTCCTCAGGGTCCTAGGTAAGGACTGAAACGTCCCACAGAACTAGTTGGCGTTTTGTAAACTGCAATTCACCCAGGACATGACCATTTTATCACCACATGGAGCAGAAGACAGTGATTCCACTCACCTGTTTGTAACCAGACTAATTAGCATTAGAATCATGCTCCCTGTGCTCCCCTTGGTGTTTTTTTTTAATAAGCAAAAGCAGCAGGCTGTTATTGACCAGGTTTTGATTCTTATCTGTCTCCTCATAGTACCTCCAGTGCAATACCTAACTCCAAAAAAGCTAACTGCCCAACTCAACCCGGTTTAGCAGTGGTAAAGAGCAGCGTGACACAAAGTTGGATGCAGTGTGCTCAGGCCTGCACGCAAACCACTGAAACTAAGCCAACAGCCAGTCTACCCAAGAAAATACTAGGTGGCACTTTGGTGGACATCGCTCTCTGCGTGAAAGAAAAAGTCTTTCAAGTCCCCACAGATCACACTTCCTCTGTTCTATGTTGTACAGCAAAGAAACATTTGGTACCACTTGAATATGTACCTGTGTACAGATGGTTTATACCCATGTAGAAATAAGATTTCAGCCTGACAGGTAGTATCTGAATGAATGGAGAAGCCAAAGACATAAAAATACAAAATATTTAAGTACTTTCCTTTCTGTGAGTCTTTAAGTAGTAGTAATGCAACTTGAAACACGAGTATGTTAACATACAGACTGAAATCTAGTTAAGAAAAGCTCATAAAGGAGTACATATACAATTTTTAATATTTAGTCTTCTCTGACAATCAGATGTAATTTACTATTTCTTCCCCATATATATACATATACAAAACTGAGGAACAAAACCATGGTGCAACAGACCCTGTTGCAGAGAACAGCTTTTCACTGGCTGGAGTCCTACAGCCATCAGACCAAACTCTACTGCCAAAGGTAAGGGACTTATTTCGTGGAAGATTTCTTCAAAGCCTTTGCTCCATGACTGTGTTTACTACCATGGTATGTACAGGTATAGGCTGCAAATGCTCCCAGTCCTCCCCCCAGTAGATTCTCTCCTCCCAAGCAGAGATGAAACCCCTATTCAAGCTTTTGCCTTTTATGAAAGTGCATGCTTTCATACAGAACACTGCTCACTCTGCCTGTGCTCCAAGCCAGCTGGCTGCAAACAAACCTAAATCTGAAGACTTAACAGAAAAAAGCTCCACTGAAAGCACATTCCCTTTGGATAGGAACTTGTTCGTGTCTCCTGAAAAGAGCAGAGGCAGAAGCAAGCCAAATTTGTACACAGCAGCACAGATCTGCCAGTTTTTAAAGTCCACACTGAACTCGCAGTGCAACATTAAAAACCAGCATGACTGCAAGATAGCCCTGTACTTGCTCTCTCTATTCGTCAAGCTGTGGGAACACCAGCAAGCTCTGATGCTGTCAGCAGGACATACTACATTAGCTCCAGCACAGCATTTTTCTGTGATCCTTCCCTTGCTCCCAGTTGGCTTGAAACACAGGCAAAACAAACGCCGTCTGCAAAAAACCCTCGGCAAACATGACAGATTTTAGACTGTGGACAAGCCTGGTGGTAGACTTCACTCATTAAATACCATGTATTCATCTGTTAAAACAAAGGACACATCATTTATTTGCATAGCTCTTCAACTTGACACTAATAAAGTACTTTAAGGCTGTCTACAGAAAAATCTGCTAAGGGAAAATTGCAGGATAAGGGTTGTGTAAGTAGCCAGTTCCTCAGCAACAATCATAACAGGATCTGAATACACAAGGTAACAGACAGATTAGCCCCAAGACCAAATTTGGAGAAACAAAAGCTAGATATTCCTAGCAAGTCATACAAGTGACAAGTGTATTATCCACACTTTGGCAATCATTGTACAATACCAAAATGAGGTCTTATCAAATATCTACGAATGTAATTAGAACCTTAGCCATTCTTCTCAATTTTCTGAAACTTAAGCATGTCAACACTGACCAACCGCCTGATAAAACAGTAAATGAAGCTCAATGACAATATGAACACAACTATAAATAACGTTAGACGCTAAATTGGCAGCTACTGCTCAAGAAAGATCACGGAATCACTTGGAATCTTCTCTGAAAATATCAAGTCAATGTTTAGCAGTAATCAAAAACTTATAAATTCTATGGGAACCAATGATAAAACAGAAAAAGTCTGGTTTGATTATGATCTGAAGTCCTCAACACTCCACCCTAAAAAAAAACCCAACATACTCTAACTTACATATCCAAAGCAGAAATAACAATGATCAGAAATACAAAATGGTTTCTATCCAAAAAGAGTACTAACAGATCAGGACACTCCAACTTGGAAAAAATATCACTAGGAGAATACGATAAAGACTTAATAAAATCACAGATGATTATGGAAATGGAAATACAAGAGATGAAACCACCTTTTGTTATTTTTCATAATTCAAGAACCAGAAAGAAGAAACAAATCTGCTTCTATTGTGGGACATTGGGCAAGAAAACAGTGTGATCCCTATTTGAACACATCCAAGCAATTCCACAGATGATAGGTTTACAAATGCTCGTTACATAGGATGATTCAGATGGATCTCCAGCTCAGAAAACCCCTAAATCACTGA